ACCTCCCGCGTATCTATCACATACGCTACAAAACCTTTACATCCCTGCTGTAGACACTGTCTCGCCCTAGCGGCCGAACAAAAAGCTGATCCTGAACGGGTACCCTCGCCGTACACCGTAAGAACTCCCCCACTAGGGTCTCGTATAGTCACCAACTGGCGCTCACAGTCGATGACGGCGCTGAATCGGCTCAACCAGTCCATGCCCACGATGACACAGACATCACCCATCGCAATAGGAATTAGATCAATCGGGAACGCAACCCCAAAAATCTCTAGCACGCATCCCCGAAAAACCTCAGTAGCACAAACCACCCTCTCGGCCGCTATAGAAACGCTCAGAAGCCGACTTAACGACTCACGACTAATGTGGATATGCTGACTAAAGGCTAACGATACGAAAGATCTACTCGCACCCGAGTCAAATAACACTAGAGTAGGCATAGAGTTCACAAGAAAAGTACCTACACATACATTAACATAAGCATAACATTTCGACTTTTAAGTAAATACATGAATGATAACATACCTGCCACAACATCGGGCGCAGCGCGGACCTCCTCCGCAGTCAGCTGAAAGGCTCTCCCGCGAGCCCTCGGGGCCTCGACCTTCACCGGTCGGGTCTCAGTAGTCCTGGTAGTAGGTGTAGCTCCCTGACGAAGCTGCGGGCACTCGGCCTTCCGATGGCCTGTCTGGTTGCAATGGAAGCAAACCATAAACCCCTTAGGACAATCCCTGGCAATGTGTCCTTCCTTGCCACACTTGTAGCAACCACCCGCTCTACACGCCCCCTCATGACTCTTGCTGCACTTTCCGCAATTGCGGCCCTTCGAACCTCCCGTCCTCGAATCCGCGGACTTGAACCGCTTGGCTGCCGGCTGAGACTGAGCCGGTCGCCGGTCCACCTGCCGAGACTCGGCCTCCTCCCTGGCCTGGGTCTCCAACTCGATCTCGCGCTTCCTGGCATTCACCTGAAGCTCAGTGAAAGTACGATAGGTGGAGTTTGACACAAACTCCCGGATATCCCTCCTCAGAACGCCCAAATACCGGCTCATCCGTGACTGCTCTGTAGACACCAATTCGGGGCAGAACATCGCCCTTTCATGAAACTTCCGTGTAACCACCGCAACGGAATCAGTACCCTGCTTAAGGGTCAAGAACTCCTGGATCAATCGTTCCCTCTCCACTGGGGGAACATACTCATCCCTGAACATCTCAGTAAACCTCTCCCATGTCACCGCTGAAATCTCCGCCTGAGTGAAGTTCGCCGTCATGAACTTCCATCAATCCTTCGCCCCCAGACGGAGCTGGTTCAAGGCGAACCGTACCCTTAGGTACTCCGGGCATGAACAAGTGTAGAAGCACCCCTCAATATCGGTGATCCACCTCATCGCAGCAATCGGATCCTGCGTCCCATCGAACTCAGGGGGTTTCGTGTTGCTGAATTCTCGGAATAGCAACGAATCACCCCCTTGCGGCCTAGCAGCGGCCACAGCTGCGGTAGCGGCAGCGACTGCAGCTTCAGTCAGTGCGGCGTACCGCTCCTCAAACTCCTCCATCAGGGTGGTCTTAATGGACCCAAACATCTCCGGGATCTCAGCCCGAACTGCCGCAGCTACCTCCTCCTGAATCATCTGACGAATCTCTTCGTCACTCATGCTGCTCGAACTCGCTCCGTGGCGTGTCGTGACCATGATGTCTCTGAAATACAACATAAGATTATCATAGACTCCATCAAGTACAATTGCACTCACTAACGCAACCCTACTCAGTCTCCGATATTCAGGGATTCTTACTTGGGTCTTCCACCGACCCGGTGTCTTCGGTAGTACGGGCCCAATACTACCGACCACACCGTATCAGTATTCGTCCTAAATCTTCCTCCCCAAACCCCGAATAATGAGTACTCTACTTCTAGTATGCACTATCTACTAGCACGCTACCGAATATCTCATATAAGCAACCTCCCTAGACTAAGGCATCACAAAACAGGCCATTCTAGTCCTATCATGTATACCTAGTCTTCTAGCATGCATAACAATTCATAATTCAGTGCATAACATAACATTGTAAGGTATTCTGGGGATCTTTACCGTTCGGGTGCTGGCTGATCGTACACACTGCTCCGTTCTTGTTTACCGCTTTACCATTTATAAAATTTAACGTCTTTATTATTTTTAAAAGATTTTTCCTCAAATCCTCGGTTTGAGTTCAGTTACACCCGAAGGTACACCCGAATCCCTCAAACCAAGGCTCTGATACCAATTGTAATAGCTCAAATTTTCAAATAAATTTTTCATTTAAAATAAAACTATTTTATTTAAACAAGAGTATTTATTCCAAGTTTCATTTCAAAATACAATTAAAAGAATCCCCAAGATCTCCAACAATGGCAGTGTGTACGCGTCACGCCGGCGCCTTCCCACGGTCCTCGCTAGTACCTGAAACATATTCATAACAACTTGTAAGCATAAATGCTTAGTGAGTTCCCCAGTATACCACTTACACATATATGCCTTTCCAGGCCCGGACCTTCCGGTCCACAGCACAATGCCTTCCGGCCCGCCTTCCGGCCCATAAGATAATTGCCTTCCGGCCCATAAGATAAATTGCCTTCCGGCCCATAAGATAATTGCCTTCCGGCCCATAACATGATTTGCCTTCCGGCCCATAAACATATATAACACATAATACATTTACTCTAACACATATATCACATATATCATAAATCATCACTGACCTTCCTGTCACATAATACATTGCCTTCCGGCCCATAGAAACATACATAGCATGCATAGCAACTATTCCTTTCAATTATAGCACATATAAAAGACATAGCATATCCGACCTTCCGGTCACACAGTCAAACCCTTCCGGGTACAGTATAGTGAGAAGACTCACCTCGTAGTATGTAAGCTATAGACTCTTGAAACTACTCGCACTCGATCCGCCAATCTGCAGGCTCCCTATAATACCACATACTCTTATTAATGATCTTATCAAACAAGACAACTGACTCTACGAGATTACATGCAGGTCAACTCTGGTCAACGGTCAACTTGACCGGACTCGTCGAGTACAGAAGCGACTCGACGAGTCTAAACGTCCTCCCCAACTTCCCCTGTTGTTTCCCTTTCTACTCGTCGAGTATCCCTCTTGACTCGACGAGGTCCTCGTGGAAGAATCGCGGGGCCACCCCGACTCCACTCGCCGAGTCCGAAGGAGACTCGACGAGTTCCAATGAATCCTCAACTACTCGCCGAGTCTGAAGAACAACTCGGCGAGTCCCTGTAAATCTTCAAGCTACTCGCCGAGTCTGATCATTGGACTCGGCGAGTCCGTGCCATGCAGTCGATCACCTGTTCCCTGAAATATGCATGGTCCCGAGACATGCACTCATGGGACTTTCTGGACATCTAAGTACCCTATCACTGGGGTATAAAAAACTGGGTAACACACAATATTCTATCAAATCCCCAAATGGGTCTCACAAACCCTAGATTCGTGTACAACACTAAAACGACAGAAATGGTCCGAGTATTACCTGAAAAACATGTTCTCTGTGTCCCCAACCTTCAGAACTCAATCCTCTTGATCTTCCTTTGACCAAAACCTTGCCTCTTCTTGCCTAACAACCTCCTCAAGGTCCCAATAGTCTTCCCTTCTCCTCTAATCGACCACAGATGCTTAGTTCCTTCAAAACCGGCCAAAAAAACATGCAATGACGGCCTAAGAGGCATTATATACGTTCCAAATGAAACGGCTAGGGTTTCTGCTGAACAGCGTCGACTCGCCGAGTCCATATCTGGACTCGTCGAGTCCAGTCGCGCATCTGCGACCAAACCTGTGGTCCTACTCGGCGAGTCAGGCACCAACTCGCCGAGTCCCTCCCTAAATTGTCCCAAAAATAGTTCCAAAATAAAACCTGAAATTCCGGGCTGTTACAAAAGCTACATCCAATAGTAGTAATCTCAATATTTCAGCATATCACTTTCAGATCCAAAAAGGATTAACGATAACTAGATTAGATGTGTTATTCATTTACTACGAGTGATAATTTTTTTTAACCTTTCAAGATGTAAATAAACTCAAATCGCAACACATTAGTAGGAGTGATTAAGATATGTATATGTTAGGTAAACATATTGTCAGTTTATCCAAATCCCATAGGATTCGAAGCATCTACTACTTTCCAGAAAATTATCTTATCTGGCACGACAAATTTACAATCAGCTATCTCATCATGTTTAGAATCAGCTATCAGGCAAGTAGGTATCTATTATCTAAGAGCCAGCCAAACTGTTAATATATTTAACCAAACCTTATGTAGTTATGTGTATTTAATGACTTAATCCTTTGAGATATGGAAAACTGAAATGCTGAAAGATGCTTACATTTTTCAAGTACTGACAGCACCAAATGTTGGCATCATTGCAGTCAGTCCCTATAAGATTGTTTAGTATATATGTTATTATTTATAATACCAAGGGCAAGAAAGGAAAAGAGTATAATCTTTTTACCTTCATATCCTCTGTTTATGAATAACAAGACACACACACACACACACTCATGATCCTCTTCAACTTCAATTTTTTCAAGCATACCTTAAATGTAGGATCGGATAACTAATTACATCAAATGTCTCAGATTATAAAATATATATAAAAAAATAAATGGAAAATTTTACTAGTCATCTAATATTTCTGTAACAGGCTCCTCATAAGCCGAATGCTAATAAAGGTGAAATGAAAAGAAATATATAAATATATAATGTTAGTTTTTATATAAAAGGATTAAGAAGTTATAAGTAGTTTAATAATTCAGCATGTTGGTTATCTATCAACTGTGTGTGCATAAACTGGGTTAAAAGGGTCATTTGATCATGAAAAGAGAATGGGAATGACTTACATCTTTAGATCTTGATTTTCTTGAAGGTAGGTTGTGAGTGTGAGGAGCACGTGACACCCTACCTTTGCATTCCTCCTGTCAAAATGATCAATCTCATGTCTTGCAACATCTAAAGACTTTAACAGCCTCAGGCAACGATGTTTTTATCAGCCTCAAATTTTCATCAACCTAGAATGGAATAAATTGATATTGGAAGTTAGAAGGAAAGAAAGAAATGTAAAGTATAATTTAAAGATCAAAGTGACACCCTACCTTTGCATTCCTCCTGTCAAAATGATCCAAAGCATCATACAATAAAGTTGTTGGTTCTGTGCTCCCAATCTTGAAGATAGATTCAGTAGAAGCTAGGACCTGTTGAAGAAACTCCATGTTTAAGTTAGACAATATCCTAGCTCCATCACACTCTGGGATAAGGATAATGGGTTCATCATATAGATAGCGAACCAGATCTCCATAATAGCCCACTGTCAGAAGCATATCATCCCAATATAGCAATACACTATCCATTCCACACCAAACAAGTTGCTCGGGAGCTAGGGTAGAATGTAGAAGGAACAAAAACAATAAATCGTTATATAAGGAGAAGATAATGAAACCTTATTGAAGCCTTGAAGTTTCAGAGACGTCAAACTGAAGACAGAAAGAAGAAACATTTTTTTTGTGAGAGAAGACACATGAAGAATGTACCTTTTGGGAGTGAACCATGATGGAGTGGGATCAGATGGGTCTCCTTGATGGCAGCACGTAGGTCAGCGACGGTAGCGAAGAGGAGAGATGGGTTGGAGGAGAAGGTGGAAGTGTGTGCTTAGGTTGATGGCAAGCTTCGGTTTTGATTTTGTTCTAGACCTATTCGCATTCGTTTTCTCAGCCATTGACGGCGGTTTGTGGAGACGATGATGGCATCGTGGACTACGACATGGTGCTATGATCTGGAACCGGTATCTTAAGATGGCGGAAGTGTGTGCTTAGGTTTCTAGATGCACTCCAAACTCTTAAAGCTTATCGGGTTCGATGTTGGTGGTGGCAGCTTAGGGCTTGCACACACACACACAAAGAGAGAGAGAGAGAGAGAGAGAGAGAGAGAGAGAGAGCAGAGGTAAAGGAAGACGAGCCAATTCAAAAGGATGTGTTGATTCAAAAGGATTATTAGGGTTCTATTGTAGGATTCTAGTGTGTATTGAGTTTTTAAGGTTCAATGGCTATGGCAGTGGCGATGGCTTAGGGTTTACAGAGAAAAGGAAGGAGTGAATGAAAAGGGAGATACTGAGGAGAGAGGGTAGAAGTGGGGTTCTTCAAAAATTTATAATTTCAGACGATTTCGTTTTCCCCCTTTAAAAATGTGCGTTTAGGCAAAAAAAATGAAGCGACACGTTTAGAGGACACACATTTTATGAAAGGTGCCCTCCACATTTCCTTTTTTCTTTTTGTTTTTTTCATTTTTTTCATTTTTGACACTAATTTTAGGGCACGCACAAATGCGTGTCCATTATCCTTCAAATTTTGCAAAATTAGCATTATTTTTTAGGGCACACACCAATGCGCATCCTCTATCAGTGAGTGTCATTGTTTGCGTGTTATTAAAGGGCTGTTTTCTAGTAGTGACTTATCCAAGTGGGAGACTGTTAGATTAGTGTCTATCTCCCTAACTATAGTTGGTATGACTTAACCCGACCCGGCATGGTCCATTTGGGTTGCACTTCACCGGAACAATTGGATAGACTAAATGAGAAAAAAGATACGGTTTATATTAATATATTATAAGTTTTAATATTAATATAAAAATCATATTATTTAATTAGTGTTGATCAAGAATTAATTTATAATTAATTCACTGATAAAAAAGGAACTAATTAAATATGGACTCTTATATATATATATATATATATATATATATATATATATATATATATATATATATATATATATATATATATATATGGTGGGCCAAGTTCATTTAGGTTGGGCTAAGCTATCATGGATAGTCCATGGAGTGTTTAACCCATAGATCCTATGGAAATGAAAGGTCATGGGTATTAGGGTTTACATGAATGTAACCGTAATCCTCCACACTATATAAAGAGGTATATGGTTCATTAAATGGGTGCTAAGCACTAGTGTGTTTACACAAAGAGGGCAAACCAATTTCATAAGTGTGAACCTAAGTATCCTTATTCTCAAGTTATTCCAAGGTGTTTTTGGTGATTTGTGATTCCACTTGAGGCTTCCACACTATTGGGGCTAAGCTCTTAAAGTTCAAAACTTCAAGCTTCATCAAAAGGTATGTTATCTAACTAGACTTTTGTAGTATAGTTGCTTCATATTATGCTAGTTAGGGTGAAAGCTTGGAATATTGAATATTTGCATGTATAATAGAAAAAACATAGATCCAAGGTTTATAGGGTTGCACGTATACCATATGAGTGTTAGAATGCTCAAAATCCATCAGAGTCCTCCCAAAGTTCAGGAGCAGAAGGGAGCGTGGATTTAGGATGAGTTTGCATTCTCATCAGGAAGGAAGGCAACCCAAGTGGCTGTGTGAGTTGAGGATTGTGTGAGTTGGGAGTTTGGGAAACTTCTCAATGTTGAGTTTGCGTTTTCGCAATTGTAGATGTTTGGTTTGGGAAACCAGGTTGGAGGATCGTCAGCAGGACTCGAGTGAGTCGGAATGTGGTCTACGTGAACGTCCGACTTAGAATGTTTCAGATTGATAGTTAGTGGTTGGGGCAGCATGGAGATTGTTGTAAGACTGCAGGATGGTCGTAGCCTTTCGTTAGTAGCTAGTTAGAGGAGTGTGGGTGAAGGCCCGTATCTCCTAGTTAAAGGAGTGTGGGCGAATCTCGTAGTTAGAAGAGTGTGGGCGAGACCTGTATCTCCTAGATATCAAGGTAAGGATCAAGAAAGAACAGTTCATTGAGATTCAATGAGGAGTTGGCCTGCATAGCCCTAGAGAGGTGAGACCTTGGTAGAGGCTGCTCCAAGATATAGTGTGGGTGAGACCCATGGGCGAGGCCCATATGTTGGTAGCAGTGCAGGTGAGACCTAGGGGCAAGGCCGTTCAATAGTATGGTATGGGTGGGACCCATGGGCGAGGCCCGTGCGACATTAGCTAGACAGGTGGGACCTGGTAGAGACCTTAGGGTAAAGTTTGGGGGATCGAGGATCCGAGGATTTATAGAGCCAGAGTGGCAAGCTAATTAAATCAATTTTAGATTGCCGAACTTTTCTACGAAAGTTGTTGGGGGCAACTGAGAGTTTGAGCTGGGTTCAGTAACCGGTGGGTGTCTGGTAACCCAATTAATGGCAGATTAGTTGGGACCAGGGTGGTCTCGGTTCATCCGGAAGGCGGATAAGAGATAGAAGAATCTTCATTCAGGGGTAGTAATGATAAGATAAGTTTGGTGAGGGGCAACTAGTTGACCGAGGAGTGCTACGCCTTTTACAAAAGGGTTAAATAATCTAAGAGGGAAGGGTTTGACCATGTTGCACAAATCTCGTTTGAGTCTAACCGTTGCAGGGATGAATCTTTTACTTGAAGGATTATCTGAACCATTTGTTGGGATAGGTTTCAGCACCAAAATATAGTAAGAGGAAGCATTCACCGGGTATCAATGAAAGTAACCAGCACTGGGAGTGGCTGGAGATGTGGATATAACGAAGGGTATATCCCTCATCGAGATAAAGGAGGTTTTTTTATGGAAGTTGACTTGGGAAGGCCGTGTACCACGCAAGGAAAAAGCGATGAACCGTAAAGGATGTCCAATATGAGTACTCGAGGAGTACCAAAGGGATTGACTGTTGGATAAGAGCCATTTTCTCAGGATTGTTGGTGATTAGAGTGCTCTCGAAGTTCTTATCTTCAGGATTATTTTGTGGAGAGATCGGACAGAAGAACAATGGTACTGGACCTTCAGGGATCAGACCCAAGAGGTGATGTATGCATCGAGCGAGAATGATGTGAGCAGATTGTAGGATAGTTGGACGTAGCGGACTTTAAGGACAAAGTCTAATTTAAGTGGGGGAGAGTTGTAACGCCCTATTCTAAAATTATTTGTTTATGGATTTCAGAGCCTGAGGCGAGGGGTGTTTTGGTCTTTTATGTGTCGCTAGAAGCGCATGGCTTCTCGCCACCTTTCCGTGGATATAAAGTTCGTTGGAAACGGACTTCAAATGAAGGAGTTATAGAAATTTGAAGTTATTAACATTAATGGTCCCTTAATGGAAAATGATGGCAAGGAAGACCATGCATGCAAAGTGGTAGGCGTGTGGGTACGCCTAGCATAATCTAGGTTACGCCCAACATATAAGGGAAATGGTCACGTGTGCTTTTTGGTGTATGCCTAATGTACAGGATGTACATCCAATGTAGATCCAGAGTCCATAAACCCTAAATTTAGGGTGTGCCACAATATAAGGAACATTATACCCTCAAGGTTCAGCCTCCATTCCACCCAAAAGAGCTGCTATGAAACCCTAAACCCTCTTGAGTGTTCTTGGAGCTTGTAAGACCATTTTCGAGTGCATTTTATTGTTCTTGGAGAGGAGTAATCATCTTAGAGTCTTATGGATCAAGGAAGAGCTTTTCGATTTAAGTTCTCCAGCTCATTTACTAACCCCAGAAGGTATAAAGCTTCCAGCTTTCCTCATAAAAGTTTAGATCTAGGATTTTGGAGCTTTGGATATTTTTAGGTCCAAAGAATGGACCTTTGTGATGCAACTTCGTTTTTAAGCTTGGGGTTGCCACCCTCAGAGCTAGAAGTGTCCCATAAGTAGTAAAGTTTCAATCTTGATGGTCCTAATGAGTTCATGCATGATATCTAGCCCTTGTTATGGAAGTATGTTGTTACCTTTTGAGTTTGGGCTTATTTAGTGGGTTACAAGTCACCAAGTTAGTGACTTTATGGATTAAGAGGATGAAAAGGACCTGGATCTATAATTGTAGACTATGGATTGGAGTATTAAGCACTTAATGGGAAAGTGTCTTAATAGGGGGAGTACGCTGAGCATACATGCAGGTACGCCCCACATACTCTGTCAGTATAGGCTTTGTGTTTTTGGGCCACGGTTGGGCCATACTTTGGGTCTTTGGGCCTTTAGGCCGTCGGAATTCAGATATTATGGGCCAATGATATATTTGAGCTTAAGGTAAGGCCAATTAGAGGGATTGGGCCTATTTTAGCAAATTGGGCCATTAGTAGGCCACTGGTGGGATTGGGAAGCTTACCTAGTGTCAGGACTTTTATATTTCCGTTTTGGACTTTCGATATGGACCAGGCTGGACTAGGAAGGGGTAAAATGGTTATGGTACCCTAAAGAGAAGTATTGGTTTGGGCTAAGTGTTATTTTGGTATTGATAGCTCGGGGAGCCAAAGGAGTAGTTGTTCGGGAATAGATAGATAGCAGCCAGAAGTGTATAAGTAAGAGCTTCAACAAGTGCAAGGTGAGTCTCATCACTGTGTGAATGGGTCTAAGGCCATAATGCCGGCCCTTGTACTTATGAGTAGGAAGAC